TTTTTGAAATAACTTGTTGCGATATGGGAGACGTTATGAAATTATTTTCTTGCATCACCGTAGACGAGTGATAAGTATGGATACTCTACGGAAGGTCTTGGCTGATGGGATTAGGACCGAGAGTTCCACAGAGCAATATCTCAAGGGGATTCAGCTTCTATGGAACATGGTCTTTGAGGATAAAATGCCCGATGATCCATCGTGGATCAAGAACAAGGCTCAGAAGATCGTTGCAGCTGTTCTAGAGCGCTATGATAACCCTGGATCCAGGCGTACTCGCTTAGCCCCTTTTCTTGCTATTTGTCGCAAACTCGGCTATGCGGAGGCTTATCAGACCTACTATGAGCCGTTCCGGAAAGAAAACAAGGCTCTGAAGGAGACCGCTCAACGAAAGATTGAGACGAAGGCCTCGGACGCCGCATCAGAGATGACCGTTGAAGAGGTCGAAACATTTGGAAAGAAGCTCGCACGCAAGGTCAGACAGTTGAGTCTCGAAGACATGGATCGAGATCTCACTCCTAAGGAGGTAAAGATTTGCATGTGGCATCTCGTCCTCGAATGGCATATGCTTCTGAGTAAGGAGTGTCGTCGTCGGGTAAAATTGCACGAGCTTCCAATCCTACGGAAGGGCCAACAGATTGAGGGTGCGAGTTATTTGCTGCAGACCTCACGACGCAAGGGAGATTACAAACTCGTCTTCGAAGACGGAGATTGGATTCCTCTAACCAAGATGCTGAGCAAGTATCTCCATCGAACCCTTCGATTGATACCTCGAGATTACTTCTTGACTTCTGTCACCCAGCCGCAGACGGCTATGACCGCTAGCAACTGGTCAATGTTCTTGAGTAAGATTCAGTACAATGGAAAGCGCTTCAATCCAGATCGAATGTGAGACGTCTGTATCTTACAAAAAATATCTATAAAGATTAGTAACAACGAGGCGGTTTCATGGCAATGGATACTGACTTTGAAGCAGAGATTCGCAGGAAACTGAAGGTTCAATCTCCTGAAAAGGTTCTCCGCGGAGCTCCGCCGAACAGATCAGATTCGACGGTGTCTGTCTACATCAGGCAACTTAACACCGTATATGCGGCTGGAGACTTTGGGCCGGACGTGATGAAGGATCTCGACTGGATCAAGGATCACGAGCAGGTGATTTCGACCATAGAGAGTTTAACGTCGCGTGACGGCAAGCTTCTTAAATCGTTGACGAAGAGTAATTACGCAGCCCCTTTCGCGATTCTTGCTTCCGGAGACACGCAATCGGCTTACTCGAAGTACATGCAGAGAATGAAGCCAACCGAGGAGGAGCTCGATCGCTCTATGCAGAGGAAGACGCCGAAGGAAGTCGACAATTGGGTTCCATGGTCCGAACTTATAGACAAGCGATCGGATCTCGACGACCAGATCAATCGCTATGTCGTGCCGAAATTCCTTAAGAAAGAACGCTTAGATCGCCATGATAAGCAGCTGGTGATAGACCATCTGATCCTAGCACTCTACACGATGCCGCTGGGACCTTTACGGAATGAGTACGCAGAATGCATCTTTTTCATGAGGGAACACGAGAACGATTGCGTTGCGATCAAACCGGGTGACATCAACGTCGTCGAGTTGAACGACGATCCCAAGAAGTGTTTCTTCCACATTGGTCGACACAAGACCCTCGAAAAGGATGGAGTTCGTCGCCTTGAGATTCCCGAAGATCTCGTAAAGGTTATACTCAGATCCTTCAATCTATTTCCTCGAAAACACTTGATTCTCAAGAGGCATTATCTCGTATGGAAAGATGAACCGATATCAAACTTTACCGTACTTCTCAATGACCTCGGTCAGCGCCATTTCGGTAGAAACCTCAGCTGCACTCTGCTTCGACACATCTCACATACTGAACAGAGTCCGAAGTTGATGTCTCGTGGTGAAGTGAGAGCGAAGGCCCAATACATGGGCCATAGTATGAGAACTGCAGATGAACTCTATTATAGACGATTCGAATGAGTGGACAGTTCTCTTCTTTCTGCACTTTGTGTACATGTGCGTTCTCCGAGAAGCACATTTTCTGTGTTAGAACTACTAGGAGGCATCAGTTGTACTCCAGCTATGGAAACAACGAGTCATAATCATGGATCGACTGCATGTGCTGCTTGTTTGGAGGCGAGCATCTATAAGGACGAGCATCAAGCCAAGAAAAGAGAATATTCAAAGAGTTACTATCAAGTACACAAGGACGAAATTCTCTTGAAGAAGGCTCTTGAACGAATTGCAAAAGGAAGCAAGACAAGCAGACGGACAAAGCAGCGACTCTATGAGGCACAGGTTGCCCTTCCCTGGATTCAATCGTACTAAGCAAAACCTCCGATGCAAGCGTGAGCTCCGTCGAATGCCGCGTTTCAAGCCAAACGAAAATTTTCTAGGGTTGGAAATATAAGGGGGCTCCAAACCTCCTTTGGTCTGTGAAAAAGCATGGCAACGAACTCGATTGTAAACATGTCAGAAGCGTATGCTCAAGAAGGACTATACGCTGTTCCGGCAAAAGTCAGAGCGACAGACAAAGGATCGAAGGAGATTCTTGGAACGATGCCGCATACAAAAGGCAATCACGCAATACGTACGGCATCCGATTGGAGAATGGCGCGAGATCGCATCATTGAAAAGATTGAAAAAGAACGATACAATTTCTTGGCAATAAAGACGGGAGCCATTTCGGACATCTTCGTGCTTGATATAGACACACGAGACAAACCGGAAAAAGATCTTCAAGCTGGCATGCATCTCTGGAATAGATTGATCGCAGAACACGGAGAACCGGTTACTTTAAGGGCCATTTCTCCCAGCGGAGGCCTTCATTACTACTTCTCGTATGGTGAATCACTTAAAGACGGACTCCAATCAGGAAAGTGTTTTGCTGGAGTGGACTATGAGGGCCAGTATTATGGTCTCGATGGGCGCGGAGATGGAGGCATCGTTCTGGCTCCACCGGGCTCACCTGAGATTGGGTTGAATTACATCTGGTGCGCACAACCCTCGAGGACAAACATCCGACCAGCTCCGTCATGGGTGATCCAGTTCCTCAACGATTTCGCTGGAAGATCCGCGAACAAGAGTCTCATGTCAACTTCGAGCGACCGAATCCAAGAGTTGTCAGCCAACGGTGCTGATTTCGAGCAGGTTAGGGGGCTTGATTCAAACACCGTCGAAGAAACAACGCGAGTTGAAGTGGATACTGATGACTCACACAATAGACAAGCACTCGAGCACGAGAAGATTGCCGATGCAATGATGCAGCTGTTGCAAGACGCTGGACTCGACACGGATGTTGTTCGCTTCTCTGGCAATGTGACCTACCACGGTCCGTATGGTATGCTCTATTCATTCATCTGTCATGGTCCCCGAACATGCATACATGGTTATCACCACACTGGTAGCAACAACCTTACGCTCGTGAAACGAGGATGGACGGTATTTTATCGATGCTTTGGCTCCGAATGTACCGAGAAGCCTCTCACG